CGAAGCCCGAGCCAGCCCGAGACGGGCCGTCCTGGGGAGGGCGTGATGGGGTGGCGGGGAAGGCGCAGTCCATAGCCCGCCTGTGTGGCTGTGGGCGGGCGTGGGGGAGCCCTGTTGGGTAACTGGATGCCAGCCTCCTGCAGAAACCCCGGAGCCCCAGGGCCCAGCCTGACAGCCTGGGACAGAGCCCGTTTTTTCCTACAGGTGATCAACCCAAAAAAGAAAATGAAGAAAAAGAAATACATGAATTCTGGCACAGTGAGTAACACCCCCACCCCACCCCGTAGCCAGATGGAGACATTCTGTCTGGCTGTCTGGCTGTCTGTCTGTGCAGAATACGGACTTTGACCTGGAGGTGCTGGGCAGGTGGGGTGACGCCTCCAGGCGGACAGAGCAGACTGGATGGGAGGTGCCGTGGGGCAGGGTGGGCTTCCTGCCAGCCGGAGCAGGAAGGGAAGGAGTCCAGGGAACGGGGATTCCCCAGCCAGCTCCTTGGCAGTGTTTCCCTGAGAGGCAGACAGACTTCAGCACACACTTGCCTGGAAGAGGAAACCCGGCTGCCGGCCCGGAGGTGACTCACTCAGGGTCACACAGCTGGAAGCAGTGGTGATGGCATCAACACCTGTGACTCCAGCCGCTGCAGGTGCTGCCTCCCACTGCTTGCCTGTGCGCACCGGGGTAGCGCACTGGTCCCATGGCTTCTGGGGGCTGAGCTTCAGGTCCTTCCTGCATTTCTCCTCCTCCTCCTTCTTTCTTCTTCTTTGTTGTTTGTTTGGAGGCAGGGTCTGGCTATGTAGTTGAGGCTGGCTTTGAACTCACTATGTAGCCAGGCTGTCCTTGAAGTCTCAGTGATCCTCCTGCCTCAGCCTCCCGAGTGCTGGGATTACCGGCCTGCGCCATCCCGCCTGGCAGGGAGAGCCCTGTGTTTATAACCTGGTCATGTGCTAACGCCTGCCTGCCTCTCAGGCAAACACTGTTGGTTCTCAGGACTCCTCTACCCTGGCAGCCTACGGGAAGCCCCGCACGCAGTCTCGCTGTGACGGCAGCAGCTCTGATCCCATGTGTGTTTCCACCCGGCCATTTCCCTGTTTGGAAAATGGGGCCGACGAGTCCCCTCCCTTGCTCCCACACGGGGTGGTGGTGAGAGGCACCTGGGAGATATGGGCCTCTAGACTGCAAAGTACCTGCTCACCCGGGGGAATCAAACCACAGCCTCCGTGCGGCACAGACCCCTCTCTTCTTGGGCCACAGCTGCTTGTGGGGTGCGATCAGCACTGGAGCAGGAGAACCCTTTGTCTCCTAGGCTGTTTAGCACCCCTGGCTTCTGCCTGAGACTGCAGTACAGCCCGAGTCTCCTGAGAACCCCCAAGTTCTCCCGTTTCCTAAACACCCCAGGAAAGGCAGCACCTTCCCAGACAGGAGCTCTTGGGTGTCAGCTAAAAATACAAAAGTTCAGAACCCAAAGATCTCAGACTTGAGAGATGAAGAAATCGGGCCTGGACGGGGGAAGGGTTTGCCCGAGGTCACACAGTGAGGCAGGGATGAGTGGCCCGTTCTCCGGCTCCATTGCTCCAGCAGATGTGAAATGCAGATGCCTGGGCCAGTCCCCGGTTCTGTTTTTAGGAGGCCAAGCCGGTCCCTGGAATCTGTATTCAGTGCTTCTCCTGCTTTCCTGCAATCCCCTAGGGCTGATAAAATGCCAGGCTTCTGCAGGTCTGTCTTTGAGCTGCATCTGTGCTTCTGGCCATTCGGGGGCCGCAGGCTCCACCCCCTCGCTGTCCACTGTGAACCCCAAGATGACCAGTGTGGGCCCTGCCTGGGCCGCCGGTGTCCCCCAGGCTCCCAGTTTGTCGGATGAGAGTGAGCCAGGGCTGAAGTCGCTGCCACCGCCCATTTCTGAGCCGCTCCACCTGGGAGGGGTCCTGTTGGTCCTCTGGTTGCCCACACCATGGTCATCGTGGGCGAGGGGCCCCTGGGCCCTGCTCAGCACCCGCAGACCCTCGGTCGGACAGGCCTGCGAGCTGTCAGACGCCATCTTGCTTGGTCCAGCGCCGGCCAAAGACAGTGGCTGAATCTTCACCAGCAGGGGTCGCCCCGGCTCCTGGAGGACCAGGTTCTCTCCCGGCTCCTAGGGTCTGCCTTGGATGCCGGTTTCCTGGCTCCATGACCCGAAATCCTTATCACCAGCCTTCGTGCCTTGGCAAAGCTGATGTCAAAGCCACCAAGGGACAGAGAGCAGAAGGAGGCCTCTGCCTGGGAGAGGGCGCAGGGGAAGGGACGGGCGGTGCACAGGGTCTGGGGTCCCAGGCAGCGCGGGCAGGGGAGCTGTGAGCTAAGCACAGATCTGAGAGGCGAGCAGGGTTCACTGTGGCACAGGGGCGCCCTCCGTGTCCCACCCCAGGCCTCGGGGCTCCCCTGCCCTTGGCCTGGGTGCAGTTTGGCATCATTCCTCCCCACTCTGCCGTGTCCTGGAGCCTCACTTCCCTCAGCTGTGAAAGGGGTTTAATCGCAGCTCTTTGGGGGCTGTCGCGGTCCCGTGTGGCACGTGTCAGCTGCAGCGTCGGGTCCTAAACCGCGCCGCCCGCACTCCGCTGACCGCCCCTCTGCTCCCCAGGTCACCCTGCTCTCCTTCGCTGTGGAATCCGAGTGCACGTTCCTCGACTACATCAAAGGAGGGTGAGAGGAGAGGGGACCCCCAGTCTGCCCCTCGGGGGAGGGGCCCGGCCTCACCACCATGCCCCGCACTGGCCCACGCTGACTCCAGGCTCTGAGCAGATCCTCAGCCAGCGGGGTCCCCTTGGGTCCCGGGCAGAGATGGGACAGGAGGGGCAGGGATCGTATGACAAAGAGCCCGGGCCTGGGGGCGAGGGGGCCTGGGCAGGGGGAGGAGCCGTGTCCCTCCCACAGCAGGCCCCTGGCATACAGGTGGGCTCCTGCTCTCGGAGCGTCTGGTGCCCTCATGTGTCGGTCTGGCAGTGACTCACTCACTGACGGGGAGGGGACCGTGAGGGGACAGGACCTTCCGACCTGCGGGTACCCAGACCCAAGTTAGAGGAGCAGGACTCCTGGGAGGGGGTGGTGTGGGAGGTGCAGCCCGCAGCGCTGGGTGAGCCCAGCTGGCGTGCGTCCTGTCAGGGCAGGTGCCAGGCCAGGGCGGGGGCAGCCGGGAGCCTTCAGGTGCAGACAGGTGAGTGGAGACACCTGCCTGGGAAGGAGATGGGCAGGGATGGCTCCCGGGCTCATCTCAGCCAAGCAGGCACTGGACTGCCTGGCTCTTGGGGGCAGAGGAGTCAGGCCCCAGAAGCCACCTTCCCTGCTCCACGATGGCACCGCCCCGCTCTCCCGAGCTTGCACAGCCTCAAAGTTGCCCGCTCCTCCTGTGCCCTCCCTGCCCCTGCCACTCTCCTTGCCACCATCACAGCCTCATGAAGCAGCTGGCCCGCTCTGTCAGCAGCAGATTTCAAACATGCCTCCGCCTGTTTCTGTTTCCCAAGGCAGAGCTCACTGGGGTCGGGGAAAGGATGCTGTCCTGTGTCCCACACGCAGCTAGGTGGCAGCAGGGCTCCTGCCTTCGCAGCACGCCTCCTTTTGTGCACAGCTAGGCAGGGTGTGGAGCAGATGGAGACCGAGGAGTTCAAAGGCCGCAGCCCTCAGAGGCCGGGCACAGCCAGGCTGGCGCCTGTGTACCGGGCGGATCGGAGCCCTGGCGCCCACGGGCTCTCTGCAGGGACTTGAGTAGGGACCCCCTCTGTGCGATGGGAGGAAGCAGAGGGAGGCGGCTGTCCAGGGTCCCTGTCCTCCCTCACCATCCCCAGGGCCCAGGAGGAAGGGTCGGGCACCTGTGCCCCCTGTTCTTTCTGCCCTGAGGCGCAGGGGGCAGTTTTCCCGCTGTTTCCTTCCCTGTTTTCTCAGTCCCTAGCAGGAGATGACAAGTTAAGGCTTAAGGCCAGCCTGTCCCTTGCCCTAATTTCAGAAGAGACAGTGTCTCCAGTCGATGGTGTCCCCACTGCCCGCTGGCAGGGCAGAGCCACCCTTCCAAGGAGCCTCCCCAGGGTCCCTGAGGGTCTCTGCAGTGGTGGCTGGGCTGTGGGACTGGAGGGTCCCTTCCGCCAAGGCGGCCTCCTCCCCCATCCCCAGTGCCAGCTCAGAGAGGCCCCGTTGCCCCCCAGGAGATCCCAGCACCCCTCCTCACAATCCCTGGGTTTCTGCTAAAGAAGCAGATTCCAGGCCCCCCTGCCAGACCAACAGAATTGGCACCTGTGGCGTGGGCCCGGAATCCGCTTTGTAAACACTGGGCCTCGCCGGGCTTTCCTGTTGTGGCTTTCATGCAGCAGACACCCAGCAGAGCCCAGAACGGCTGAGCCCTCAGGAAGCACGGACTCAGAATCTGAGTCCTCCAAACCAACTTTCTATTACGCTTTATTTGTATTTTCTTGGTTTTTTGAGGCAGGATCTTGCTATGTAGCCCAGGCTGGCCTGGAACTCACAGTGATCATCCTGCCTCAGTCTCCTAGTACTAGGATTACAGACATGCCCAATTCAGCATTTTATTTTTACTCTTTAGAGTTTCAGGCACGCTGGGCAAGTGGTAAGAGGCTGCACATGATGAGAAACTGGGGTACACCCGAGTCCCTAGCGCGTCAGTGTCTGGGGTACACCACTGAGCTACATCCCTAGTCCCCAATTTTATTATGGAAAATTTCAAATATGTGCAGAGGTGGAGAAAAGGAATCGTGAACCCTGGAAACCATTCACTCAGCTTGAGAAGCCAGCAGCTCAACACTGTCCACTTAGGCCACAGTCCATCCTGGCCGCCTTTACTGACACTGGAGGGCATCTCTCTAACCCAAAAGGACTTTCTTTGTAACACATGGCCACAGTCCCTTAATCACCAAAATAACTCATACCCGTAAGGATAATCACTAAAAATCCAGCAGTTCCTCAATACCTAATATGTAGACAGCATTCGAATGTCTCCAAATGTCTTATAAAGCTCCCTCCGCCCCCAGTATTGAAGATTGAACCCGGGCCTTTACACTGAGCTACATCCCCAGTTCTTTTTATTTTTCTATCTTGAAACCAGGTCTTGCTAAGTTGCCCAGGCTGGTCAAATTTGGGATCCTTCTGCCTCAGCCTCCTAGACCTCTAGGATTGCAGGCATGCAACACCATATCCAGCTTTCTCATAAAGTTTTGTGTTTTTTGGTACCAGGGATTGAATTCGGGCCCTTGCACTTGCAAGGCAGGTGGTGGAACCACCGAGCTAAATCCCTGCCCCAACTCATAAAGTTTTAAAATTTTGTTTATTGCTGATATATTTTGTGGTGCTGGGGGTGGAACCCAGGGCCTTGAGCATGCTAGGAAAGCACTCTGCTACTGAGCTATACCCAGCCCTCCAGCCCTTCATAAAGTATTTCTCTGTGTGTGGAGGGGGATCAAACCCAGAGCCTTTGCACTGAGCTACATCCCTATATTTCCAGCCCTTTTTTTTTTTTTTTTTTTTT